AAGTCCCAAAGGTAAGAAYAGGAGTTAGTAAAAGTTACTTGTATGTGCCTGAAAACCAGGCAGCCTTGCTTTTTATGTGACAAACTGTTTCAGCAGCTCACTAATTTCTAGCCTGTATGCTGCAGGGTAATCAGTGCAATTCCCAGGAAATCCATGAAGGTTTTAATGAGCCGTGACATGTTGAGCGCACAGTCAGCGTGAAGCAGTGCAGTGTGAGGAAGCTTTTGGCAAAGGCTGATGCACATGGATCCTGGCTCCTGAGGAGCCAGCTGCTAATCTGACACTTGCCCAGGGAACTCAGATAGTGGGAACTCTCTACCACCTTGCTTCATCTCTTTCACTATACAAGTGTTGTAGCCATAATTACCTCTGATAAATAAATTTGCTGGATGAATTTCCCATACTGGCTGGTTTAGGGTAGTCTGTGTAGGTGTTTCTGCTGGAACACTCTTGTTCTTTATTAGAGGACAGAGTAATCTCGAGTTTTGCCAACATTCAATTTTTCCAAAGTCGCTGATGTTAAAGGTGTATATCCCATTGTTTTCTGTGTGTGTGGATCAAAGCCTTCACTTAAAGTGATGATGACTTTTTGTGTATGCTCCCTCTCGTGGTTTTGTAGGTAGARTAAAAGCCTGAATCTCTTCTTTTGAGATTTAGAGCTACATTTTTATACTGAACTATCGATAGAAATTTAGGAAGTGAAGCTGCATKCTGATGAACCAGGTCCATGGCAARCTAGCAGACTCATCCCAGTGACATCCATAAATAAAACTGGAGAGAGAGCTCAGGGAAATTACATTCATTTTGGATTTCAGCATCCTAAATAATACTTATATTTAAAAAATAATAAATATTAATTAATAGTTCCTTACTGGGAACCATTTTGTTTTTAGTTTGGTGATCTAGTGATTTGAATGGCCCTGCTCAAATGTTAAAAGGAACTTTTTATTTTAATCTATTCTAAAATTGAAGTATTATATTCTTACAAGGTCAAAGACAAGAAAATTCAGTAAACTAAGTGAAGCCAACTCTTTTTCAGTCAGATACCCACCTCTGCAAATCCAAATTACAGCACTGGGACTTCATAAGCAAAACCAAGAGGGAATGGAAAATCRAGCAAAATTTATAACAGGAAGGTTGGTTTTTATTAGGTCAAGTAATGTAGCTAAAAATAAGCAACAGGCATACTTTTGTGTACACAAATACTGACACACACAGAGATGAAACTGGACTTGATTTTTGTTAAAACACCAATGCATGTATTAAAATGAAGACAGAAAAGGGACAGCTRCTGTCAGATGGCCTGGATTTTTTAAGTTCTTTTTGCTGAAGTGTTATTAGTATCATGAGTAAAGAGACTTCCCCATGGCACTCTGAATTGCCTGGATTCTTTTAACAGTCATTTTTTTCAATTGAAAACTTKCTGAGTTGTAGCTAAAGATTTGGGGAAATGAGTGCTGGGGAATGAGGTAGTGAGCACTGTGATGAAGGTAGCCCAGCAACACGATACAGTGGCTTTCAGGAGGTTCCTCCCTTCCTCCCCCCCTTAAACCACACACAAAAACACATCCTAGGTGGTCGAGGAGACTTCGCCTAGAAGTACAAAGTGCCTGAATTGCACATGTGATTGTTACACTGGGATAAAAGCTRGAGTCGGGACAAGGGCAGATCCCACTGCTTCAGTATTTGTACTTTTTGAAAAGCCAATTTGGCAASCAGCATAACAAGAGCCTAACAAGTGGATGGACATATGGGGAGGCAAAATAATTGTGCATTAGGAAGACTGTGCAGATGTGAGCTGAAGTAAGGGCGTAACTCCATATGGCACATTGCTGACCTTCAGTTGGTGCCTGAATGACAGAACGCGGTGTGGGTCGCACCATCTGAGCGGGGCTGTTTTGGGAGCGGGGCCCAAACCAGACAGAACKGGATTTACACAGATCATCTGCCTCCTGGAAAACAATAAAGCATCTCCYAACAGCTGTTGTGCCTGGGATCATCCTRGTATTTCTGCACCTTGCAACTCTGWCACCTTTCCTGAAACAGTGTATTCCATGCTTCTGGAAAAATATATATTATTACCACTACTAAAGCAGTGGTGATGGCTTCTTAATCCACATTAATCCTCTATGCAGGAAGAGCAGAGATAAGTGTGCAGGATACTTAATTTCTGTCTGTGTTCCCAGGGTTTAAAGGCCTTTATATGTCTTTGGAGAGGAAATTACTTAATTCCTTCAAGTAGAGAATATTAAAAATCTTGTGGTTAGCATGTTTATTTGAGAACATCATGGATTTTTTTATAAACTAACCCCAGAGGGATGTGCRTGTTGGGTAGAATAACAGTAGCACTCTGTTATTAGGAAACTGTGATGTGTGGAGGGCTTAATTCTTCACCCTAGAAATCCTTTGACAAAATACACTTGATAAGTCCAAACTATCACTTATGATTTATTATCRTTTGTTCTCCCCTTTCCCTTTTCAGCTGTTAATCCTGACACTGGCTTAGAGTTCGGCCTCATTTTATCAATGGCTGCTTGAAGGGCTCAGGAGGATTTGCTCCAGTATTCACCAGAAGTCTTTGATATATGAGATTGTAGGCTAACACTGATAATCTTTTGTGAGGAAGTGTCACAATACATACATCGATCATCCAAGCCTCTGTCTGTCAGACTCTCCCAACTCAACCGTATTTTTCGTGACACAATGCAGCGCATGGCCTTTAAATTACCCATCTGTCTGACAAATCAGTGAGTGTGGCAGAAACTGGCAGCAGTTTGACGTCGCCTATCACTTTAACTGAAGTGAAAGTAATGCAAACAGATTTATGGGATCCCCTTTGATTATAGACTATGAATATATTTGGAATTGATGTTTGTGAGAGAGACACAACAGAGGGGCAGGAAAGGCTTGTAGGCAAAAGCACTAGTCTTGGGTTTTCAGCTTTGCATTTACTATGAGGGAGATTGTTCTGTCCTAAATTTTTCCCTCCCCATATGGTGCATCTCATCTGAGCACCTCTGACCTTTTTTCTTTTTCTTTTTTTTTTCCTTTTGTCCTGAGTGATTATTTAGCTGTTCTAAATTCATAACTTTGTAAATATCAAGGCTGAGCTTTCTTAAATGAATTTGATGTGCAGCTGTTAAATATATCTGTAACATTCACTGCATGTCAGTAAATACTGCTGAATGTCCAAGTGTGCTCTGAATACAGTGGAGCACAGCAGAAGACAARCACCTGACAAGCTTGGCTGCTTGCTGCAGTGCTGGTGAGGACTTGAGCTCTGTGATGGAGTACAGCAAAGCATTGACTTGGCTTTTTTGATCCAATGGTTTATTTTTGTCGCTGAAATAACCAAGACCTTGGCTTTTGCCTTCTTCCTCCATGCAAARGAGTATAATATTGCCATAAACTTGGTTCATAACCAAAGTCTGTCGTGACAAGCCTGGATTTTAGGGAATTATATCCTACTCATTGATGCTGTTTAAGTGTAGTGGTGAGTTGTGATGTTGAAAGCTGAGACAGAGAACTACTGAACATGTCTCATGTGCAGGCAACAGCATGTCCATTCAAACAGCTCATGTCTGCAGCTGAGCTCTGGCTCCAGAGCCATCCAGTCCAAATAAGTGGTAGGGTGGTATCCTTTGGGCGTTAGTACATTTGTTACATCATTTTCTGAGCTCTGGAGCTTGCAAAAGCTTCTTTTAAAACACTACTTGCCTTTCTTCAGAGAAGCCACAGACTTAAGCAATTCCCTCTTTTTTAAAGAAATAGTTTTCATAAACAAAGGTGCAGGCATTGCAAGTCACTTAACAAAACAGTTGTGGTTCTGCTGTGATGGCTTTTGCCTGGTTTCCCGAAGAAATTGTGATTTGCAGGTTTGCCACAGAAGCTGAGCCCATTCCCTAAACACTTTCAGAGTTTTCCCTTGCCATGCAGTGCTGAGCCAAGAGCAATCTGTCACTGATGTGGGTTTTTGCATTCCTGCTGCCACAGTTGTTGGTAGCTGGGCAGAATTGTGATCTACGCTATTAGTTTTGATATAAGTTTTATTTTCTTTGGAATCCTTCTCCTGAATTTGTCATAACCTTGAGCTGAATTTTTTTGTTGATTCCAGCATGCAGCTGACCTGAGGTATCTAAGGCTGCCATGTAGTTTTGATTTACCCAGGAGCCTCTGGCTGCTCCCCTCAAGAAAGGCTGGGTGGTTTCTGGAGTCTGTCTCTCTCTTCCTGTCTGGACGTTGGTTAGTGGGAACCAATGCAAAGTTTTATTTTGCTAAAGGAAACCCTGAGATATTTGCATTTAGCCCCTAGCTGACTAGGACACCCCCTGTGCTTGCCTCTTTTTCCAATCCAAGCTATTCCTGTTTTGAAATCTCCACCCACAGTGCTCCCATCAGGTCCTGCCTGCCTGCATCCCACATTCAGCCTGAAAGCACACTCATTGGAGAGTCCTCTGTGCAAGTCCCACATCTTGTTGGTGTTTCTGAGGGAAGTCACATCTATACTGGAGAAGACAGATGTATTATCCCAGTGTAATGTTCAAAGCATAGACATCTCACAGCCTAGGATCACTGTGAAAATAGGAGCTACAGATTGTGTCTCTGCTAATTTTGTTGCTCCAGTATTATCCTGTATGAGGTTTTTTCAAGCACAGCCTTGTTAGTCAAGGATCCCACCAAGGCATCCATGCTCCAGCATGACTTTGGTGGAGCTGTTATTTTAGGCATGTTCTGCATAGCTCTAGTAGCAGAGCAGGGAGCAAAGTCACACTGTGGTCCCTTTTGGTTTAAGCCAGTCCTAGGCTATTCTCTGTAGGCAGGAACTCTGAAAATGAAGGAAGTACGAGCTTTAGTACAGCATGGTTTGAATGTCATGTCTAGGACCCAGGGAATGATACTGGATGAAGTGTAGTCTGGCSCCTCTGCTTACAGTCCCTTTGATTAGTTGCTGGTCAGTCAAAATTCCTGCTTTTTAATAATGCATTTTTCTTCACCTCTAGGGAAGATGCATAAACTTCACACGAGTGAAATCGGATGGAACCTCGGCCCCTTACAGCCCACCACCAAAGGTGCCATGGCGTGACAATGCTCCCCTCAACAATGCTCCAAGGAGCCCTCCTGTGTCTCTGCAGCCCCCTTCCAGACAGCCACCTCCTGGGCCACCTCCATCCCGAGCCCCTCCAGGACCTCCTCCTTCGCGCCCACCCCCGCAGCCCATGGCTTAAGAGTGCAGCAAAACCTGATCGACAAAACATGTCTCTTTGCTGAACACAGCATATTTATTGAGTATTGGTTTACAGTTAAAAGATATCAGAATTTGTTGCTGGTCAGCAAAAAAAAAAGAAAAAAAAGGAAAAAAAATTGCCAAGTGTCAATTTTAGTGTATGAATATATTTATACCACACGTGCTGAGTAAACATTCAGTGGATAGATTCAGAGCTATGGGGTATAGAAACAAACCAAAATGATCATCTAGATACAGTAGCAGCTTCTGTGTATATACATTTGAAGATCTATTTAGATATGACATTTGTCTGACTTGTTTTGTCAGACCATTCATTAATAACTTTAGCCGGTACTCGTGCATCAGTGGCTTTGATAGCTGCCACCTGCAAGTTGGTTCAACATAGTTCATTGAGGAATTTGCTTTCTTTTCCCCAACACTACTGCATCCAGATGTTAATATGGATCAACAATTGCAAAGATATCTTTCTGCCGCTGSTTCTGCAGGAGGAACTTCCATGGGGGTTTTAAGAAGCCTGTAACATCAATGCGGTAACACTAGACTTATGTGCCAATAATCGAGCTCAGTAATCTAGCACAGAATAAGGATGTATGTTTTTCACCTGAAAAAATCAGTTTTGAGCCTGCCATCTCTGCATATGTTTAGACTTGGTTGCATAGGATAACCACTGAAGGCCATATACTGTCTCTAGAAATCCAAACTTTGGAGAAGACTTGGGTTCAGATTTGCCCAAAGTTCAGAGGAATTTAGAGAAAAACTTTTTGGCTAGGTGTTTAGTTTTCATTTACAGCAAGCATAGTCCAAAATGAAGCAAACATACATGGAATTTGAGTGCAGATGACATAGTGAGCTAACAGTATATGTTATTTATATCAGCAGCATTTAGAGAGTGATTCTGTTGCTGTTTTATTGGACAAATTTCCTTCCGACCTTACTGCTAAGAASAATTTGATCCTTTTGTAATTCAATCATAAATTCCTCATTGGGCAGTTCTTTCTTTAGACAGTTGAGATCCCACTAACATGTAACCCTGCAGTCTGCTTGTGGTTGAGAGGCATGGTGTGAAGTGTGAGTATGAGCTTTTATCCCTGTTTTATATGCTTGGCTGCTCTCCCATGACCTCAATTCTGGGTGTCATCAGAAAGTGATGTGAGCACCCACACAGAGGTGGAAATTTATGACGCGGGACTGTGGGTCAGCCCATCATTAGTGYTCACTAAGCCATGCCTGAGTGGGTTGTGCCCAGAGCATTCCCTAGTGATTCAAAATAACACCTGAGCTTGCTTTTTCTCCACCACTACCTACCATACTGGCGAGGGAACCTATGCTGGTTCACTTTGGCACTGGCTGTGTTTTTAGGATAGTTGTAGAAATAATGATATGTTGCATTATGACACAGCATATACCTATTTCTCCATCTGTGTGTGGGTGTGTGAYACATCACAGCAGTTATTGGCACGTAAATCTAAGATAAAACACTGACTGTATYGTGCAGTTGCTCCAGATTTAAGACCTTTTCTTGCAGTTGTTGCAGGCATATGAAGTTGTTCTGGTACAAACAGAAATCAAGCTTACTGTTTCCAGTGGAAGTCCCACCTGCAGAACAGCACCAAGCTCTCATCAGTCTATGCTGATCACTGTGATGTGCCGTGTGTATGCAGCTGAGGCTGTCAAACATAACTCAGAAGAACCACAGAGCCTCTTTCTCCTCTTGCACTGCTCTGCTCTCTTGAGCTTAGCTCTTACCTCATTATATTGGTGCAGGTAGTGGAATCACAATTGTTAGTGCCAGCTGGTCTTGGAGCTTTTCCTAGTTTAGGCCTGAGCCAGCAAAGCACTTGAATATGTTAAAATGYCCTGCAGGTCAAGAGAAACTTTCTTATGCCCAAGTACTTTGCTGACCTGTGACTTCATTGTGATCAGAAAGGAGAATTRGGATGCACTCAACCCTATCCTCATTCTTTTTGGACATTTGAATAGGGTCTGCATAATTTGGTTCATAAGAATGGATTTCTGTTTGGAGGAGAAAGAAGAGTGTTTGTATGTGTGTGCGTGTGCCTGTGTTTGGGTGTGGGAACTGTGTAGGGTTTTGTTTAGTTTCTCTTGCTTTACAAAAATTGCTTGAGAGTTGCACTCCTATGAATGGAAAGGCCTTTTGCAGCCAGTGTGACACACAGTCATCACTTAGCTCTGTTTCCTTCAGCTGAAAGGCAAAACTAAAACCGGTCCCATTTTCCATTGCACTTCTGGTGAAGCTGTGCTTTGGGCCTCAGTGAAAGGATCTGGATGACTGCAGTGAGGGGGTAGGGGGAAGGGTGGGGGAAGGTGCTTCACAAGCAGAGATCATTGGTGAACATTATGTTGGTAATATGGAAAYGTTGAAATAATCTTGCTGGGTCTGAGACTATTTGTAATGTGTATATACAGGTGACCCTAACAGCTTCTCACAGTGGTTGTATAAGAATAATTAGCCAGCAAATGCTAACTAGAAACTGAAATGGCAGCGGGCAATAAAACTGTTTCCCACACCAGCATAAAACAGGGCAKTAGAGCTTTAGCTGCTTGTGGGGTTGGGGCAGGCCACTGCTCTGTAGATGCCAAGTCTCTTATCAGCAGGCAGTGAAGAGACTGAAGCAGTGACTTGGTGGGTCGAGAGTTAACTTTAGCTAATGAAAAAGCTGGGGAGCTAGATTTTGTCTTGTCTTACACCTCTACAGGCTTTGGGAGGGGTGAGTAGAGTTGGTGATTTGCCTTGATATTAGTGTAGGTAAAATTGCAGTCACTGCCAGAGGCAGTGGAGGTGTTGGCTTCTCACAGTCACACATCAAACGTTCCTGTTCTTTGCAGCTGAGAGGAATACTTTTATTTGCTGCAATAGCCAGTCTTGCACAGGTAACACATACTAACAATTCTGCACAACTTCCAAGTGCAGCAAGAACAGGAACACTTTGGGCTTCCAGGTGAACAGGTTCAAAGCAGGAACCACCATGGATTTGAAAATTAGATTTGGCATAAATTGAGTTTCCTGCATTCTCCCTGTAAAAAAAAAAAAAAAAGAGCATTTGGTGTGTAACTTAAGTATTGGCTTCTGTGACAGGAACACTGCAAGTTAAGTTTTCCAGTAAAGCAGGAAGAGAAAGTGAACTTTTTTGCCTTAAACTGAGTTGCTTTGCAAAGGAAGGAGCAGTGAATGTGCTGCACTGGCTACAGAAAGGCCTTTTGGTGGTGTAGAAATGTACCTGTTTGCAGTGATCTCAGGCACTGTAACAGCACAGCAGGAGAARCTGTTGCTATTTTGTCGTCTGTTGAGCTTGATCCCTACCTGGTATACATCAAAATAGACCAACTGAAATCAAGGCAGTAATATTGATGTCCATCAGCTGAGAACTGTCTCAAAATGAATGAAGGGGAAAAAAATCCCTCTAACTGGCTTGATGTTTTAATGTTTGTTTTAGTATTCTTGTGTATGTCAGTTGTGATTACAGTAGTTACATGCTAAGAAATGTTCTCACATGGGATGATTCCCATGTATTTTCCAGCACATGGCATCATTTGACACTTGCAAGAAGTGAATATCTAATGCTTCCCCAGATCCTGGATGAAAATGTGGATTYAGGGGACCTTGGGCTCACACTCTGTATGGATGTGACACGGCACAAGGTGCAAAGCAGCAGGGAGGGAAACTCTATGTGTTTAAACCTGATACAGAACCACACTGATCAAAGCATATTTATGGCCATCTTTCAACCTCAGTGCATGTGTTGCCATCTGCAGGAGTAGCCTGCAGAACAGACGGTCCTAAGTAGAAAAAGAAAAAGGAAATTAAAAGAATCAGCTTCTCATGTGAAAGAGCAAGCATAACAATGAATGACATTATTTTGTGAACTGTACCAGTTCAAATGCATGTGCACCTGGTGCTCCTAATACTTTTTACTTCTGTTGGTCTTCAGACAACATGATCAGTAATATGCTTTCTCTCTTTAATCGTTTGCTTTTTTTATTGTTGTTAGTTTTTTTTTTTTGTTGTGGTTTGTTTGGGTTTTTTTTTTTAAGAAACATTTCACTGAGAAAACAGCCCTACTTGTGTAAATATAGAGTTTAATTTGGAGGAGACAGCACACTTCTGGATGTTACTGCTGGACAGTTATTTATTAAAAGGGGCTCAAGGTGAATAAATAGTGGTGGCTCAGGATACAAGCATGCAAGTGTGATAATGCAGTATAGCATTTTCAGTTCTCTGTAGTTTTTTGGTAAGGGGAATTTTTGGGTCATCCTAGTTTGTTTAGAAGTTTTTGCTGATATACTTTTGGATAACGCAATAGAGATTCCTAACATATAACAGTGCTTGAACAAATGTGTAGATTCTGATAGATTTTTTATTTGGGATGAGGAGAGGGGTAATGAGGGAGAAATATTTTAGGAAATGTAGTTTTTACAGGGAAAAAAATGTACTGTACTCAATTTAAAATTTTTTTGTCTGTATAGAAAGATGTAGTGTTTTCAGAAACAGTGGGGATGTGGGCTGATACACAGCTGGGGCATGGAGATGAGGGACAGGGGAAGCAGTAGGATTTTTGAGGGATAAAGAAGCTTTCCATAGGGGAGTGGGTTTGTCACTGGTACAGGTGGTACAAATTTCTGTAACTGACATGCTGCTTCCATGTAATAATCATGTAACTTTATGCATTTTATGCGCRTGCTCCGTTTTTCTGAGAAAACCTTGCAAATGTAATGCCTGCATGCAAATGTGGGAGATGTAGCCAAAATCTTATAATCTAACGTAATGTAGTCTTAATGGATTCAGAATCAACAATAAAAGTGCTTACTGGTTAAACACTACAGGGAATTTCATTGCAGGCTCATTTTAAGAGGGGATAAGCTTCTCTGTATCTTTCGAATCAGCCATCTCCTGGTCAGGAGAAGATTRTGAAGTTGGGCTGTCAGAATTACCATCTTCAATTTGCTACTAATTTAACTAGAGGTATGTTACRTGTATGTGTAGGGTATGTTCCTCAGTTTCATGTTTCTAGGCTGAGAATTTTGATCTTTGCCTAATTCAAAGGTAAGCCATTGTTTTTTGAAACAGGGTAGAAATGCTGAGTAAATTGAACTGGAGTCAGGGCTCAGACATTTATTAACACCTGGGGCAGAGCCTGAACTAATTGTTGCTGTCTAGAATACACAGACACAAAGTAAAATCCATGCAAGATAAAATGCCAGAGCTCAAGACTTTAACAAAGAGAAATTCCATGGGAAATCCTACACCTCTGAAAACACGAGTCACCAGGCTTCAGACAAAGCTACAGATTTTCAGTCCCTCCCTGCTTCCAGTRTTTCCTCTGTATCTGTTCCAGCCCCAGTGAGGATTGGGGGCAGAGGGTGGGAGGGCTGGTGGGCATAAGACAGGCAAGAAGGTCACCAGGGGTAGGCCACAAAAATCTCCAACCCAAGCAGGCTGCAATTATGGGTAATCAAGGCTGCAAAGCTGCTGAGCTGTGCTCTGCACTCTGTGCTGGCATGGCTGCCACAGCCCCGTGTGCGAGGGGAAAGGAAGCTGCTCTTTGCACAGACACAATCCCCTGAGCACAGGGGAGCCCCATCTGCAAAAAGGTGGGCATTGAATTTTGGGGGTCTGGAAGCCACGGGAACTCATTGCAGCAAAGCAGGTGGGAGCTGCGTGGTGGTTGAGCCAGGCATCCCCTTCCCTCTGGGCAGCTCCAACAGGCTGTGCTGCTAATGGGAACTGAAATCATCGGCCTGGAGCTGTGCTACTCCCTGGTGGAGGCAGGGGCTCTGACAAAAAGCCAGSCTTGCTCCCACTCTGCTCCCCAAGCTGGCAAGACAATAGTCACCCAGTATGGTTTTGTGGCCTTCGCTCTTTTTTGTTCTTCCATCTGCTTCTTACTCAAAAAGCAGGCYCCGGCTCTCAGAAGAGATCAGATAAACAAAAGTGATCCTGTAGCCAAAGCTCTGGGCATTTTTGTTCTGCATTAACAAAAACCCTATCCTGGCTGCAGCTGTGGATGGTTAGGTTTATGCATGCCTGAGACAACAAAATTCAGATTTGACCTGAACTTTCCCAGAGACTGGGAATGTGCAGATCCAGGTCTTTGGTTCTGGGCTTGCCTATAAATAGCCTCTTGTACTGATTTAGAAGCTTTCATCGAATGTGCTTCACGGTCTCAGGAGTGGGGTTTACATGTTCACATACACCAACCTCCCCTATTTGGCTGCATGGAGTCAGCAACAAGAATTTTATTGGCTTCAGCAACCTGAGCCAGGAACTGAAAAAATGCTCTTCTCCCCTCTCCTCCCATTCCTTAAGAAACCACAGGCACAGTGTGTTGCCCTTGCTGGAAGTTGTCTGATCTTCACTCTGTGAATATGCTTTGCCCTTTGGAATAGAACTCATCCCAAGTTTCATCTGTTTCTGCAACGAATTTCCCTTTTTCCTGTACATGGGAGGACCTTCCTTTTCTGTGCACGGGAGGTGGCACTGGAGTTTCCCAGCCAGACACCACTCTGATTTCTGACTGCAGCTCAAGCTGTGGGATTATATATGAGAAGAAAAACTTCCCTAAAAGAAAGGGTTTGCCTGTGACATAGAATGAGAAATGTTTCCTTTTAAGTTTTCAGAGATGGACGGTTGCATCTTCAGATTAAACACTGTAGGTCCTGAGATGAGCCCATCTGTGTCTCAGCCACAGAGTTCACKCACTGAAGCAAACTCTCCTCACACCAGCTTATCACTGCCATGGAGCAGCTGAGTTGCCCTTCATTCATGTCCTGCATCATGCTGAGCCTCTGGGCCATGATTCCAGAGCACAGACTGTTCCTATGTGATAGAAATAGGGGCCCTGCAGAAATGCCCTAGGTCCTGTAGTCAGTACACYTCTCAATTAAGATATACACATTTCCCTCTGATGGTAGAGGGATATAGAATGAGTGCATGAGTTTCCCAGAGAACACAGGAGCACAGCTGTCACACCATAGCCATGCCATGAACATCCATGTGTGTTCTGTAGATTACTAAATGCAGCAAATCTTTCCTTACTGGTCATGCCTCATGCACTGTCAGGGTAAAATACTTAGTGCCCTCAAATGTTTTCTAGTCTTCTTTTTTTTCAGTACATAGAAATATGTTTTGAGGTCCCAAGGAATTCCAAGATTCCCCTTCATCATTAAAGACATATTTGGCCAATCAAAACCAATGGAAAAATATGGCAAGCATATGTGGCAGCTTATTCTCTTCAAAAACACAACTATTGCTGTTCTGTGCCTCTCTTTCCTTTTTCATTAGGAATAGAGCAGYTAACACAATGTACCTGGGGTAGGAGTTGGTCCTAGTTCAGCTTAGGGGTTTTTTCCTATTCTKTTCTGGATATCTGATGCACCTGCAYAAGGTGTTGGAATCTTCAGTGACAAAGGGATTTCAACACATCAGTGAGGCTGTTGTTTCCAACTGGGAAATGCTTCAATGTCCTCAGCATGGGGCCTTCAGAAGGTACTTAGCCCTTGCAAGCCATCATCATCATCATGGTAGACTTGGCTCTACCYTTGCTCACCAAGAAACTCCAGCTCCAGAAATGCAAACAGCCTGTGTCTGAGACACCAGGAGTGACAGCCCATCCACCAGAACACTCCAAGAGACCCTGGTGGGGTTGGTCTCTTCCCAAGCAAGCAGGTATGGTGAGCACTTACCCTTTTCTAGGGAAAAAAGTGGGCAGGGAAAAACTGTAACTCTGCAGGCTCTGGAGTTTCCCAGTTCTCTCTCTATTTTTGCCAATAGTAATGGTTTGCACTGTTGAAGTGACTCACAAATCAAAATATGAAATAGCTCATTTCCTTCCCAGCCATACACAGGAGCAAAGGAGCACGTCTGCCTCTAATCCAGGCCAGCTGGACCCAGCATCATCCTGGGAAGAGAAGGCAGGATGCTTCCCAGGTGGTCTCAGGCAGTGTCTCTGCCATGGTCTCCAGGAAGATTTATCTGGAGGGTGAGGTTTTGCATCCYTCATGAATCCTTTTGTTCTCCTTTTCCTAAGCCATGTAGGGTGGTGGTTGTCTGCTCCCCATGTTTCTGAGCTGCAGCCTGCTGGTGCCAAGAGGGGCTCTGGGGGATTCATGGGGCACCTCTGGGTTTACCAACTCTGTGCAGTTGTTTTTGTGGGGTGGCCTTTCCTTCCCTTCTGTGAGGCTAGTGCAGGTTAATCAAGTTATGGCTCTTTCTCTGCCCTCTCTGTGTGCCTCAGTWTCCCTTGCTGCAAGGACAGAGCACAGCTCTGGTTGTTTGAACAGTACAGCTCAGCACTCCTGGCCAGGCACTKTCAGCAATTGTAGCCATGGTGGCTGCTCTGCCCTAGCAGCTCCAGCTTTCCTCTCTGGGTACCTTTGCAGCAGCCCCTGGGGCAGAGGGAAGAGGCTGCAGAGGCTCCTGGCCCTGGCTGTGTGTGACTCATGTTTGGCATTCCAGTATTTTTGGTAGTTCAGGAGCAGCCCGAAGTTAACTGCAGGAAATGAGTGTAAAAATAGCCTGTCAGTGTGTCTGCAGCCAAGCGAAGTGCAGGATGCTTCTCTGCCAGGACCCGGCCTCAGCAGCCGCGTCCCCAGGAGAGGGAAGCAATACTTTATGACTCTTTGCTTTTGTTTTCCTTTGTCAAGATTTTAGGATGCCTTTTCTACCCACCAAGAGACATCTGGATGCCATTGCAGCGTTACCTGTGTGGCTGGCACGAACACATTGACCAGGGGTGTCACTGCAATTCTGCAGCAGTGGGAGGGAACCAAAATCAACCAAAAGACCATGACAGCTCTGACATGAATAACTGGGACACTGCAAGCAGTAAAAGGTACGTTGCTCCCTTGCTACAAACAGCTGGCCTCAGACACACCCCAGGATATGACGCAATTTTTTTTCTTCTCTCTTAGATTGCTCTGAGTGAGTCTGCCTCCATCGCAGGGTCATTTCAAACAGCAGGAGTGTGTTTAATTGTGTACAAATACCTGTACTTATTCCATCAGGGAGCACACAAAACCCGATCCCCATGGAGGATAGGCACACGCACGAAACTCTTTACAGCCGAGCTCCAAAGAGTCTCCGAGTGCTGCCTGCCACCCTCTGCCGGCCCGGGAGCTCCTGGCATCTGCCGTGTCCCCACCAGCCCCAAGTGAGCCGCTCTGACCATTTGATTCAGAGGCTGCTTTCTTTATTGGCCTTTGGGGTTAAACAAGTACAGCAATTGCCTGCTTTGTGTGGGGAATGGTTGTTAGAGCAACTGGGAGGAATTCCTTGGCAGCAGCACTAGCTAAGAAAGGAATGAGCAGAAAAATGCTCAGCCAGAGTCAGTGGCAGAGCAGAGGCAGGGTGAGTGTTGGTGCCTCGCCCTGACTCTCCCTCCTGCAGCAAAAGGACCCTGGGCAGCAAAGCTGCTCAGAAAGGCAAAATCCACACCCTTCACTGACATTTTCAAACCTCTGGGCAGAGACTCTGCTGCACAGGCACCGCTGGCACCAAGGGGCTGAGGAGAATCACGCCCTGAATTTTTACCCTATTGCTCCTTCTGTGATTGAACATGCCCCACAACATACTGATGTGAAACTTGTCTTACAATACTCTGCTCATGGCTGCTTGCATGAAAACTTGAAAAATTAAACTCTGAAAATGATTTTCAAATGAGAATAAACCTATTTTGGTTTACATAAATAAACCTATGAAATACAGTTCAAAGGYACAAGAGGAAAGGGCGGGGTGAGTAGTGAGCTGTCAGGTAGGTGAGTRCAATGTTTTTTAGGCTTTAACGACTATTTTTGCATTACAGATGCTCTCCTTGCTCTAAAG